AAAGTGAATTTCTATTGCCTACAAGATCGCGAGTTTTTAAGAGGCTTTGTTTGATTCCCCCGCCCTTGAAAGAAAATGCGTTTATTTTTTTTGAAGAGGGGGAGGGCGGGTATAAGCAGGGCCTCCTCGCGAGTAAGCGCGCGCGCCCCGCGCATTGCCATGTGAAAACGCTTCTTCCTAGCTGTGGGTGAGGAGTGGGGGTTCTTCCCCCCCCCCCCATTCAAGGCTCTGATCCGTGTCCTTTCGAAATGAGCATATATAGAAATAATTGTCTTTTCGTCTTTTAAAAACCCTCTGGACGAATTTACTTCCAATTTCAAGAAAGCTGGTGAAGAGACGCCCTACACTAGGAGGCTCAGGGGTTTGTTGTTATGTTTTTTGTTGTTGTTTTTTTTGGCGTGGGGGGGGAGTGGAATAAGAGAAATTGCCTTCAGAAAAGTGAAGATCCATTTGCGAAAAAGGGTCCTCAGGTTCGATCCCCGCAAAAGTGCTTTGATTTCCCACCTCCCCCCATACCCAGATTTCCCAGCCGTGTCTTAGATCACTCATTGGCATTTATTTTTTTTAAGAAAACCAGAGAATGCGAGAAATCCTCCCCACAATCCATAAATCTCTTTTCAAGCCTGCCAAACTTTTAATTGCCCTAATTAAAGTTCCTAATGACTATACTTAACTTGTAAAACATTTTTTCCATACTTACACCTCCAACCTTTGGAGGGGGGGGAATCTCTGGGTCTGCATTGTTGTTGTTGTTTTAAAAATACTCTCGCACCCCCCCAGCACCCTTCTCTGGAGTAAATTCTCTTTGAAGTAAACGAGAGTGGGGATTTAATGACTCCCAAGTAAGCGCGCGGAGGGGATCGGGCGGCACGTAGCTCGTCTCCGGCTTGCACCTTTTGGATCGGGGCCCCTCGGTTAGGTGGGGCGGATTCTTGGGGGGAAACGTGCCTCCAGGACCTAGGCGTTTGGAGAACTCCCTATAGCCCTTTCCTAACTCTCAGCTGCCTCCCAGCAGCAGTGGGGTTACTCTCCAGTAGATACACAGGAATGCAGAATCCTTGTCCAAAATCGCCACTTTTGGAAGAAGGGAACTAAAGGAAGAAAAGTCTGCGAATTCCTGATTTCGTCCACCGCCTCGAAAACCGCTTTAGGATACGATTGTCTAAATGTTTAGGGTTAAAACAGAGCCCTGGGTCGGGTTGTGCCTCTAACAGAGTACGATACTAAGCACTATAACCGAAGACTTATTACCTAGTTTATTATTATTATAACTATTATTTTATTATTCAGTATAGGTGATAATTATTTATATCGTCCCAGTTTTGTTGCAAAACCCCTGGACTCCGCCATGTAGAAAAGCGATGTGTAAAAAACATCTTTTTAAAAATAAAAATCCTTTTTCTAAATACTCAGAAAACAAACCCCTGTTCCCGACCTTCTTCATGCTTTTAGTCCAGACGGCAGACCGAGTAAATTTAGTGGGGTTTACTTAGAGCAGTGCTGGAATGATTTGGGGGGGGCGCAACCCCACTTTTTACCTGCCCCACCTTTATTGTTTTAGGAGATTGGGCTAAATTAGGGTTTGGGGATTCACCGAAGACACGCATCCCAGAACACTATAGAGAATAGGCACTTAAAATTGCAGCCGGATCCTATCCCGTGAATATCTGGAAGCGATCTTGCGCTCATAGGGATCATACTGTGGGCACACACGCCCCTTTTAATACTGTTTAGGATCTGAACCAAACAACTAGCGCTGATTTCCTAGAAGACGCGCTTGCTCCGTTCGCCCCCAGCACTTTTATTTTTGGCCAGAGTGATTTTGGAAGGCAAACCCAGGCAATCCAATGGGCTTACTCTCTAGGAAAGTGTGCGAGAGCAGGGGAAGGGGGGGGGAAGAAGAGGGAGGTTTGTGGGATTCACTACTCGGGAATAACTCCTTCTGAATTGTATGGGGGAGGGCTGCTCCCAGGTAAGTGAGGGATCGGAACCTCGGACCTTTCTCTGTGCATTTGGCCTGGTTCACGACCCAATCCCCACCCCCAAAGATTTTTATTCTTATTAACTCCCAAGTAAACGTGCAAAACATTTCAGCTTGGAAGAGCCAGGTCCCCCTTCGCACGTCTTTCTCGGGCGTAAAAGCTTCATGGGAGGTGGGGTGAGAGAGGAGACAGACGTTGCACCCCCCCCCCAAAAAAAGTCCTGTGCTGGAGAGGTTGTACAGCTAGGTATACTCGTGAGTAAGTCTCCCTTGGTCATCTCCTTTTTCCCAGGGAGACTTATTGTTTCCCAGGAATAATAGAAGATGGAAAAGGAGGAGGCGTCTTTGGGGGGGGCAGTCCCCCCCCCCAAGAAAACCCTCTATAGTGGCCTGTGCTGGATTTTCTTAGTAGGGATCCGAGCTCTCCCGGCTGCATCGTGAAAGAAAAGGCTCCCCTCGCTCGTCTGTTTTTTTCTTCTTTTCCTCCCTCTCTCTCTATCATCCGCTTGGCATTTAATAACGTTAAGACTTATTAGCGGTCGTAATGAAAACTGTGGCGCCTGAATAGTGCGCTGTGTTGGAGAGGGGTGTAATAGCTCCGAGGCATGTTAAGAAAATGTATTTATCCCCAATCAGGGACTCACTCTTCGGGTTCCCAGCACAAACGTTAAGTTGAAGGGGTTTAAGACAGATTAAATTGAGTCTTTATTTCGCTCGCACTTTCATCTTTAAACGGCTCACTCCGCTTGGCCCACGGCGGATATTCATGAGGGCTAGCCGCGCTCTGTGTGTGCGTGTGTGTGTGTATGTGTATAGGAGGGAGGGAGGGAGGGTGTCTTCCAATACCACCTCTCCCGCTCGCCTCTTTCTCTTCCTCCCCTTCTCAAAAAAATAAAATCCCGGGCTGTTTCTCATTTGGTTTGTTTAGGATGGCGCGGGGCGGGGAGGGATGGGCGAGCGAATTTATTCTTCTGGTCATCAGTCTCTGGGGGTAGGGAGACAGTCCAGGCCGAGGAAGCTGGGGGCCACAAGCAGTGGGCTAGGCTGCGGTACTATAGACCACCTCCAAATAACTTTTACCACTCCTATCGTGGTATATGAGTAAGCGTTCGTGGAGCGGGGAAGGGCCATTTGGCTATCGCAGGGCAGAGCGCCCGCCAGCCTCTCTGGTGTAGTCGCTTCAGTGGCTCAGAAACTCTTTCTGCCACCATACCTGCACACGCTTACTAGGGTGTGCGCGCGTCCCAGTAATAGATTTACTCCTAAGTAGATACGCATGGGATTAGAAGGTGTCCCGAAGCCATTTGCCAGTGGCGGTGGTTTTGCTGCAACGTGGGCACCCACCTGGAAATTGAAATTATCATTATTATTTTATTTTGTTGCAATAATTTGAATAATATTGCAAAGGGCCTCATCTCACAGCGCCGGCCCCTATGCATGAAAGTTAGAATTGGAACCGTTTCTGGGAGATTTGAGGTGCACGGGAAAGGGAGAGTCTCCTTTGCACGCCTTAGATACAGTAATACTCCTGTTGTCTCCTGCAGAAATGGGAGTAAGCCTCCTAGCTTTAATAGATCTGGAGGTGTAAAACCAGGTGGGTGGAGTAGGAGTGGTGGAGCTCGCCCTAGCATCCTATACCACCTGTCCCTGCTCAAGAGCAAGTTAGTTCTGTGAGAGGTTTAACTCCCCAGGAAAAAGGGGTTCGCGACTGCAGGCTGAGAAAATGGGTGTCAAATAGGATGAGGATGGATCCAGCCTCGGTCAAGGATAAAGGAAAAGTCCCCAGGATATTGACAAGGCAAGGTTACAGTGCAATCCGGGCATGGCCCAGGTGTGAAATTTGCCACCCCCCACTCAATGGTTTTTACTTCTGAGTAAACCCCGGAAAAAAGAGATTATTGCGTTGTGATTTGGTTTCTAGGCGCATCCTAGATAATGAAGAGGGTTTCAGGGGTTAAGAAATTGGCTGCCGCGCGCGTAATTGCGCGCGCGTTTCGGGGTACTGTTAATCTAGGAGTAATACCCACGGAAAGTTATGGAGGAGGGTATCGCTGGTTGTTGGTTTAAAAACAAACAAACCTGCAAATCATATTAATTTGGCATTTCCAATTAAGTTGAGGGAGAAGCAGGGAGAAATGGACTAGATACTTTGACTAGGATATGTGAGTCGTGGTGGTTGTTTTTTCACTTGACCCTTGGCCTGTGTTCTGTGCTACTCGTGAGTAAAGCTCGACAGGGGATGGGGGAGGGGTTATAAATAAAACACAATGGACCCTATTGTGTGTGTTTGGACATCGCCAGTGTAAAGGAACGTGGGGATTTTAAAGAACTTTGCACGTGTTTGCGTACACATATGCGCAGAAGTGTCCCGATATTGACTCCCCAAAGCAGCTTCGGAAGCTGGTTAAACGTGGTCTGTCGGAGCTGTGGGACTTACTCTTGAGACGGAGCCAGAAAGGTGCCTGTGGGGTTGTTCTGTTCCTTTGGTTGTTTATTTAGGGAGGCGACTGAGCAAGAGAGAGGGTGGCTGTAAGATGGACTCAAGAACGTGGCCTCATACCAGATAACAAGTTTGATCCATCTAGCTGAGGATGCTAACAGCACTAGGTGGTGGAGGCTCGCTAGAGTTTCATGCAGGACCTTCCCAGAGCTACCTGGAGATGCTGGAATCCTTCTGCATGCAGGACAGATGTTCTGCCAGTGAGCCACTACCCTTTACCAAACGGATTTCTGATCCTTCAGGAGATGGTTGTGTGTTGCGCTCTGGATGACAGATGCAGAGATCTGGAACTGGGCTGAGGTTGACTCACTGGAGCTGGCCTCCCAGTTCCAGGGTTTAAGGGCGAGAAGTAGCCGCGAATCTCTCTCCATAGATTCCTCTGAAATCCAGTTACGGGAATCTCAAGGGGCGCAGTTGCTGTTGTGCTCAGGTCCTGCTTTGGGCTTCATAGAATTGTGGAGTTGGAAGGGACCCGAAAGATCCTCTAGTCCAGCCCCCTGTAATGCAGGAATATGCAGCAGTCCCATACGGGATCGAACTTGCAAATTTGGTGTTCTTAGCACCACACTCTAACCAACTGAGCTATCCAGGCAGACTGCGTCTGCTTGGCCACTGTGGGAACAGCATGCTGGACTAGATTGGCAATGGGCCTGATCCAACAGCCAGTCTCTTACATTTCAACGCTCCTGCGAATGGATTTGTTTTAGGCTGAGCAGATAAGCCTCATCAAAACGGCATGCTTTTCTCTTCAAGTCAATCTATTCCAGATCACGACCATTTTTTGCGCATTTAAAGCACATTCAGCACGCATTTAGAATACACGACTTCTCCCCAAGAGTCCTGGGAACTGTAGTTCCCCCCTCACAGCACTACAGTTCCCAGCATCCTTAGCAAACGCCAGTTCCCAGGATTCTTTGGGGTAAGTCGTGTGCTTTAAATGTGCCTTCAGCGTGCTTTAAATGCCAGACGTTGTGGATCTGCTGTAGGTTTGATCTGAAACACAGGTAATGCAAAAAATCATTTAAAAATATTTTTAATCCACATTTTAAAACTGAAACGCTAATTCTGGAGAAAGTATACTTTAAAATTCCCCTACTGATGCTTCCCGCCCCCCAATTTTATATTTGAATGGTCTCTGCGAGGCGGGAAACGTCCATGCAGTTTATCTCCCGGTTTCTCATTGCAGAAACACGCATCACTGCAGAAACACGCATCTCGATCTCCACTTCTGTATGTGTAAACACACACACGTGTATTGTACAAGTAAAAACAACAACAAACAGAACCGCTTGCCAGCCTATCTTAACACCCCACCCTACACCCCACGTTTACGGGAAATCTGACTTTATGGAAGGGGGGCGCGGGGGGGGGGAAGGAAGGAAGTGGTTTGGCTTGATTTAATTAAGGAAGCAGGAGGACGTGGACTCACGCATCCTCCTTTCCCCCTTTCTGTCCGTGCTGGTTTTAGTTTCACACCTGGAGAGATTAGGCGTCTCTGCACAATGTTGGAGCCTTACACCTGGCTGATTTTATTTATTTTTTAATTTCCTTTTGGGGTCTGAGGGATTGGGTGTGGGGGGTGCCAAACCCCAGCTCCCTCCTCCTCCTCCCCTCCCCCTTGAAAACAACAACAACCCCAAACACCCCTTTCTTCCAAAATAACACCCTCTCCCACCCGTGGGTCTCCGCTGTCTCTATGTTTGAGAAGGGGGAAATCCACCAAATGGGGGTGGGATTACCTAAAGGGTTAGCAATCTAATCAAACAGCGAGCAGGCAGGATTTGGAGTGGGATCAAGAGGCATAATGGGGGGCAGGAGGGGAGATGGAGGCGGGAGGCGGAGGAGGAAGGATGGGGTTCATTTGGAGGCAGGAGTGAGAAAGTTGTAAGTGGAAGAAGGGAACAGGATGGAAAGAGGAGAGAGAAGGAAATGGACAATATGGAGAGGGGGAGAGAAGGGGGAAGGCCTTATCTCCCCGGCACCTGCTTGGCATTCCGAAGGGCCCAGGTGGCGGGACAGAGACCTCGGCCTGAAACTCTGGAAAGCCATTGCTGCCAGTCAGTGTAGGGAGCACTGAGATAGATGGTCTTGCTTTCAGTATAAAGCAGCACCCTATGTTCCTGAGGAGAGGGAGGGAAGGAGGGAAGGAGGGAAGGAGGGAAGGAGGGAAGGAAGGAAGGAAAGAAAGAAAGAAAGAAAGAAAGAAAGAAAGAAAGAAAGGAGGAAGGAAGGGAGGGAGGGAGGGAGGAAGGGAGGGAGGGAGGGAAGGAAAGGAAAGGAAAGGGAAGGGAAGGGAAGGGAAGGGAAGGGAAGGGAAGAAGGAAGGAAGGAAGGAAGGAAGGAAGGAGGGAGGGAAGGGAAGGGAGGAAAGAAGGAAGGAAGGAAGGGAGGGAGGGAGGGAGGGAGGGAGGGAAGGGAAGGGAAGAAGGAAGGAAGGAAGGAAGGAAGGAAGGAAGGAAAGAGAAAGAGCGAGCGGGAGGGAGAGAGGACGGAAAGAGGGGAGAAAAAGAAGAGTAGGAAAGAAGGAAGGGAAGAAAGAAGGGAAGAAAAAGAAAGAGGGAGAGAAGAAAGAGAAAGAATAAGAACGAGGGAGAGGAAGAAAGACAGGAAGGAAGGAAGGAGAAAGAAAGAAAGAAGAGAGGAAGAGAGGGAAGGAAGGATGTGGAAAAGAGAGGAGAGGAAAATAGAATTTGATAAGCGGGGAAAGTGGGGAAGAGAAAAAGGAAGGCTGGAAAAAGATGTGGCCGAGGGGGGAAAGGAAGATGAGGAAAGCAAGTGAACCGTAAAGAGGAGGAAAGTGAAAAGAGAAAAAGGAGAAATCAGGAGAGAGCTGGGCGGAGGGCAGGGGAGAGGCGGGCGGGCGGCATCCAGCCTGCTCCCACGCGGGGCTTCCACGCCTCGTCGGCGCGCGAGGCTTGAGACAAATAAGGTACAACCACAATGAGCGGCGATAACAATTACAAAGGCAAACAGGGGCTTTCGGGGACGGAGGCGGCGGAGGGGGGAGGGCTCCGCTCAACCCCGGTGTAGACATCAACAAAGTCTGCGAATGTTTGCAAGATAAAACTCCTTTCCAAATCCGCTGTGACGGCGAGGCGAGAGCGAGCGAGCGAGAGATAAGGGCTTCTGGGGCGGGTGGTGGGCACGATGAGGGTGGGGAGATGCGCCAGCATAATCTAATACAAAAGACGGGGCTGGCGCTCTCTCTTTTTTTAAAGTTAAAACAAGGGGGGAAGGAGGGGAGCTTAGATTATGCAAGGAAAAACGGGGGGGGGGGAGTTGAGGAGACGAGGCAGGGAAGAGGGGGCTTTCCAGGGGTGGAGAGGGTCAGGCTCCCCAGATTCGGTCTAAGGAGTGCCTCCAAACCCCAAGACACCCCTCCCCCAAAAATGTTAAAATGTTGCCCTGAGAGGCAGCAGCTGAAGAAGAATCCTGTGTAGCCCCGCAAGCTTGCTACTTTCCTTTCCCAACTCTTTGCAGTGCCCTTAAAATACTTTGAAAAATGTATTGGGTCACTGGGGCAAACCCAGGAAGGTTTTGTAGCATCATAGAGGTGGAAGGGATTCCCAAGGATCATCTAAGCCCAGGGGTCAGCAAACTTTTTCAGCAGGGGGACGGTCCACTGTCCTTCAGACCTTGTGGGGGGGCCGGACTATTTTTTTTGTGGGGGGAATGAACGAATTCCTATGCCCCACAAATAACCCAGAGATGCATTTTAAATAAAAGCACACATTCTACTCATGGAAAAACATGCTGATTCCCGGATCATCTGCGGGCCGGATGTTGAAGGTGATTGGGCCGGATCTGGCCCCCGGGCCTTAGTTTGCCTACCCATGATTTAAGCCTAGCTCCTTTGCAATCACAGCTAAAGGTTCCCTGACAGGTGGCCATCCAACCTCTGGCTGAAAACCTCCAAGGAAGGAGAGCCCTTCACAGAGGGCTGAGCCCAGGGCAGAATTAGATGATGCATATTTTTTGGATTTTGTGAAGGTCAGCAGCAGATTGTTTGATTTAATATGATGGCATTTTTGAGGACAGTAGGGAGGGAGAAGGGCTTGTGGGGTTTTCTTGGGGGGCAGCAAAACAGCTTGTCTAGGACTTGCTGATCAGAAGGTTGGCAGTTCGAATCCCTGTGATGGGGTGATCTCCCATTGCTCGGTCCCTGCTCCTGCCAACCTAGCAGTTCGAAAGCACATCAAAGTGCAAGTAGATAAATAGGTACCGCTCCGGCGGGAAGGTAAACGGTGTTTCTGTGTGCTGCTCTGGTTTGCCAGAAGCGGCTTAGTCATGCTGGCCGCATGACCTGGAAGCTGTATGCCAGCTCCCTCGGCCAATAAAGCGAGATGAGCGCTGCAACCCCAGAGTCGGTCACGACTGGACCTAATGGTCAGGGGTCTCTTTACCTTTTTTTATGGGGACTAGAATCTTGCTTCGTTTTTAAAGACAGGGCCATAACTCGGTGGTAGAGCATCTGTTTTGTATGCAGAATTCCCTAGTCTTTTGCAGCATCTCTAGGTAGGTCTGGGAAGGATTCCCTGTCTGAAACCCTGGAGAGTAGCTGCTGGTCAGTGTAGACAGTGCTGAGCCCAATGGACCAAGAGTCTGACCTGTATAAAGCAGGTTTCTATGTTCTATGGATGGGGAAGTGACATATCCCAGTGGAAGAGCATCTTCTTTGCCTCCAGGAGGTCCCTTTACCTTTACCTGAGAATACACACAGCAAATGTAAAAGGAGGGGAGAGGGTGCTAACCTGCATCCCTCCTGTAGCTTGGATTTGTGTCCATACCAATTTTGATGGTAACTCTGTTACTTAGAGTTGTGGCATCAAAGGAGGACTCTAATGTGTGAGTCAATGAGCTGTGATTCCTGAATTTCATGGGGTTGGACTAGAAGACCCTTGGATTTCCTTCCAGCTCCGCAGCTCTATGATTCGGTTACCTCTAGTCAGGACTGAGCATAGATTGTTCTTCTCAGTAGAATTGAAGAAGTCCTCCATGCTTGTCAACAGATGAAGTCCTATGTATGCAGGGGTTGTCTTCGGTTATGTCCTACTCAGAGTAGACCTACTGAAATTCATGAACCAAAGTTGGCCGTGTCTTTCATTTTCAGTGGGCTCTTCCCTGTGTAGAATGAGCAGTGAATGTTCATCCAATGTGTGAAATGGGGACCTTGTTGTCCACAGAATGTTACCTGGAATTGAATTTTGAGTTTCTCCTGCAAAAGGGGGGGGGGTGTTTCTAGATATATCTGTCTACAGCAAAATGAATTAAAGAATTGTGAAGTTGTAAAGCACCCGCAATGTCATCTAGTCCAACCCTAGCATAGCAGGGATTATCTTTGTTCAGAACGACTATGTGCCCATTTGGAGGAACTGGCACTACAGCTGCTTTCCATGCTGGGGAAAGATGATGAATTACCGTATTTTTTGCTCTATAAGACTCACTTTCCCCTCCTAAAAAGTAAGGGGAAATGTGTGTGCGTCTTATGGAGCGAATGCAGGCTGCGCAGCTATCCCAGAAGCCAGAACAGCAAGAGGTATCACTGCTTTTGCTGTGCAGCGATCCCTCTTGTTGTTCTGGCTTCTGAGATTC